GTGGCAGATGTTGTAAGTATATGGAATAGATGGTTAGTTACTAAATGCTGTAAAGAGTTTTTATGAGGATAGTGAGGCTCAGGTTAGGGTGTGTAGAAGAGAGGGAGACTACTTCCCGGTAAAAGTAGGTCTTAGACAGGGATGTGTAATGTCACCATTGTTGTTTAATATATTTATAGATGGGGTTGTAAAAGAAGTAAATGCTAGGGTGTTCGGGAGAGGGGTGGGATTAAATTATGGGAAATTAAATACAAAATGGGAAGTGACACAGTTACTTTTTGCTGATGATACTGTGCTTATGGGAGATTCTAAAGAAAAATTGCAAAGGTTAGTGGATGAATTTGGGAGTGTGTAAAGGTAGAAAGTTGAAAGTGAACATAGAAAAGAGTAAGGTGATGAGAGTATCAAATGATTTAGATAAAGAAAAATTGGATATCGAATTGGGGAGGAGGAGTATGGAAGAAGTGAATGTTTTCAGATATTTGGGAGTTGATGTGTCAGTGGATGAATTTATGAAGGATGAGGTTAATCATAGAATTGATGAAGGAAAAAAGGTGAGTGGTGCATTGAGGTATATGTGGAGGCAAAAATGTTATCTATGGAGGCAAAGAAGGGAATGTATGAAAGTATAGTAGTACCAACACTCTTATATGGGTGTGAAGCTTGGGTTGTGAATGCAGCAGCGAGGAGGTGGTTGGAGGTAGTGGAAATGTCCTGCCTAAGGGCAGTGTGTGGTGTAAATATTATGCAGAAAATTCGGAGTGTGGAAATTAGGAGATGATGTGGAGTTAATAAAAGTATTAGTCAGAGGGCTGAAGAGCATTTGTTGAGGTGGTTTGGTCATTTAGAGAGAATGGATCAAAGTAGAATGACATGGAGAGCGTATTAATCTGTAGGGGAAGGGAGGCGGGGTAGGGGTCGTCCTCGAAAAGGTTGGAGGGAGGGGGTAAAGGAGGTGTTGTGGGCGAGGGGTTTGGACTTCCAGCAAGCGTGCGTGAGCGTGTTAGATAGGAGTGAATGGAGACAAATGGTATTTGGGACCTGACGAGCTGTTGGAGTGTGAGCAGGATAATATTTAGTGAAGGGATTCAGGGAAACCGGTTATTTTATATAACCGGACTTGAGTCCTGGAAATGGGAAGTACAATGCCTGCACTCTAAAGGAGGGGTTTGGGATATTGGCAGTTTGGAGGGATATATTGTGTATTTTTTATACTAAACTGTTGTATTCTGGGCACCTCTGCAAAAACAGTGATTATGTGTGAGTGGGGTGAAAGCGTTGAATGATGTTGAAAGTATTTTCTTTTTTGGGATTTTCTTTCTTTTTGGGTCACCCTGCCTCAGTGGGAGACAGCCAACTTGTTGAAAAAAAAAAATACATAATTACTGTCGTTGCAGAGGTGCTCAGATATGACAGCTTAGATGTCCCTGTAAACTGCCAATATCCCAAACCCTTCCTTTAAAGTGCAGGCATTGTACTTCCCATTTATTTATTTACTTATATCTAGATAAAGGTAAGGTGGTTTTTATTGCATTCATGGATTTAGAGAAGGTGTATGATAGGGGAGTAAAGTGGCAGATATTACAAGTGTATGGAATAGGTTGTAGGTTATTGTATGCTGTTAAAAATTTTTATGAGGATAGTGAGGCTTAGGCTAGGTTATGTAAGAGAGAGGGAGATGGCAATAAACAGGGATGTGTGATGTCACCATGGTTGTTTAACATATTTATAGGTGGGGTTGTAAAAGAAGTGAATGCTAGGGTGTTGGGGAGAGGTGTTGGATTCACATATGCAGAATCTGATACAAAGTGAGAGTTGACACAGTTGCTTTTTGCTGAGAGTTGTCACAATTGGTTTTTGCTGATGATACTGTGTTTTTGTGACCTTCTGAAAAGTTGCATGGGTTAGTGGATGTATTTGGGAGGGTATATAAAAGAAGGACATTAAAAGTGAACCAGTGAAAGAGCAAGGTAATGAGGGTAATAAACAAGTTGGGTAATGAAAGATTATATATCAGATTGGAAGGAAGGAGTATGGAGGAAGTGAATGTCTTCAGATTTGTGGGGGTGGACTTGTCGGTGAACGAGTCTGTGAAAGACAAGGTGAACCATAGAATTAATAAGGGGAAAAGGTGAGTGGTGCACTGAGGCATCTGTGAAGACAAAAAACGTTATGAATGGAAGCAAAAAGGAGAACGTGCGATAGTGGTACCTTTGTTCTTACATGGGTGTGAAGCATGTGTTTTGAACGCTACAGCAAGGAGGAAGCTGGAGGTAGTGGAGGTGTCATGTCTGAGGGCAATGTGTGGTGTGAATATTATGCAGAGAATTCTTAGCTTGGAGATTAGGAGGAGGTGCATGGTTACTAAATATGTATATATTATCCTGAAGGATTAGGAGGATTTCTTGAGGTGGTTTGGGACATTTAGGATACTTGGAGGGTGCATAAATCTGTAGTGGAGGGAAGGTGGAGTAGGGGTCATCCTAGGAAAGGATGGAGGGAGGGGGTAAAAGAAGTTTTTGTGTGCAAGTGGCTTGGACATTCAGCAGGCATGTGTGAGCATATTGAATAGGAGTGAGTGAAGGGCAAATAATTTTTGGGACTTGATAAGCTGTTGGAGTGTGAGGAAAGTAACATTCTGTGAAGGGATTCAGTGAAACTGGTTAGCTGGACTTTAAGGGGGGAGGCGGGCAATTTTCCGCGCGCGCTCACCGAAAAATCGAAAAAATATGGAAATTGAGTTATATATACTGAAAAATAGCTCAACTCTTTGGCAACACAATGGTACCAGAATGAATGTTCTACGACGTTTCTACAAGAAATTATAGTCATTTATATCAGGTATGGTGACGGCGATGTTGGTACCGAGTCTGCTCACGGCCTATATATTTTTTGGAGTTATTTTCTTGTTTTTTATCGCCTTTTCTTGCATTATTCTTTCTAATATAATAACTGACTATTTGGCATCATAAAACAGTAGGTGGAGCTTATCGGCAGACTTAGTGACTACCGGGAACCAGACGGGAACGCTCAGCAGTGTTCCTGCTCCCGAGGTGCCAGCCAGGAATCACCCATTATTTCGCTTATATCAGCTTATATATCAACTCTACGGCTTATTTGTCTATCAGAATTGATCTAATATGATATAATAAACACTCTAAATAACATACAAACATGTTATATACTCTAGACTGAATAAAATAGGCCATAATATGGCCCAGAGATTATCGGGAATATTTCGATATAAAAGTGTAACTGGTCACCCTGTCGTCTCTGAGTAAGAGAAAACGGTGTTTAGAGGCTAACTGCACTAGAACATCAGTTTACTAAGAAATACACCCAAACAAACGCGATTTTCGCGAAAAAAATTTTTTTTTTTTTTTGAGACGGGGGCCGGCCGGCGTTCCCGGCCGATATCTCGGAAGTAACTTATTCACCTATAATTTGATGTGGGTCCTTTATTACTTAATTAAATGGAATAATATTCACAGATATTGTAGAATAATGATTTCTCTTATTTTGACCGTAGAATTTTTGGAAATATTCCAAATACTTCGGGAGTTATGTGGGAGTAAAGGGCAGATTTTTTTGCCATATTCCAGATACTAACAAACTTTATTTTTTTGTGAAATAACGATAAGGTATTTAGAGGGAAATCTTACGGTCCGAATTAGTATTAGCATTGTTCTCTCGGCACCAAGTGTCCAAACCACCTTACGTAGCCGCATATAAGAGTTACATCAACATCAAGGGCATTTTCAGTAAATCAGTCTTTTCTCAGTTGTTGTTTGAGGTATATTTTTTATAAATATTTTCAAGAAAGAGTGAGAACACTTTGTCTTGTGCACCAAAACTGGAGAAAATCGGACGGTAAATAAACGAGTTACGAAATTTGCCCTGTAGCCCCCTTAAGTCCTGGAGGTGGGAAGTACAGTGCTTGTGCTCTGAAGGAGGGGTGGGGCTATTTGCAGTTTGGAGAGGCATCTGGACTGTAGTGTGTGCACACCTCTGGCAAGACAGTGATGGAGTGAATGATGGTGAAAGTGTCTCTTTTTCAAGTCACCCTGCCTCGACAGGAGACAGCTAGTGTGTTAAAAACAAAACATTAATTTTTGCAGTCAGTGATTTTTGGTTAGCATCACAGGTTCGTGTCATTACCTCATATCTCACTATCCTAGATTGTCTTTCTGGTTAATAATATATTAATCTTCTCTGGTCACCAAGTTAAACATTCATAATGTTCTGCTGATTGTTTTGTATTTGCTCTGAAGATGGTGTTGTTTCTTCTGTTTTATAACAAGACTCCTGGTTAATGCAGAATTGCTCACTCGTAATGTGAGGTCCAGACTGAGGCATTTTTATAAGTCGACACATGCATAGGTTTTGTTACAAGTGGAGAGAGGTGAAAAAGTTTGAAATATTCAGTTTAAATGTGAGGACAAATTGGGTGCTGTAGAAACTAATTTAAGCTAAATTATAACCTTGATATTACCCTCTCAGTAAAGATGTCTCAGGCCACTAAATGACTAGTTTAGCTACCAGGGCTCTGCAGTTATACCTTATTACCATTTACCTCACAATTAGTCACTAAATTCATAAAATGAAAACTTCAGTGTTATTTCCCATCTCCATCTAAAAAAATGCTTAAGTGTTAATTTTGCCAGAATAAAAATTATAGGCATTTTTTCTCCTATTCATCTTGAATGTTTCCTGTTTAAGTTAGCCAAAAAATTCTTAAATATATAAACACCTTATGTACTCTAAATCCAAATACTTACATATTTCTCATTCATTATAAATTTATCTAGTACAGTAAATCAGGAGTCCCCTAATTAGTCAACATGAATAAAATCAGATATTACAAGTTCATCTTGGGCATGTTATATTTACCCCTCACCAGTCCTTCATTCCACCATTTTCATCCTGAAGTTTCCTCATCCCCATTATGCTAGTTTCACCCCATCTCATTGTCCGCCTTATAGTCCCTCGTCTTTCATCAGCATCGCGGCGCATCTCTTCAGGCTCTACCCTAAAAAGTCAAGCTGGCCACATTACCACTTTACGCGTGGCTTCCTCCACCTCTGGACGGGACAAGAGTAGAAGTCCTGAGCGTGGAGGACGGGGCTCAGCCAGCCGAGGGTTAGCTAGGGGTTCTGCAGCTGCTCGATCATCTCGCAAACACCTCCCTATCATCAACCCGCTTGTCTCACTACCTATGTGGCCAAGTATGTTGACAGTGAATTAAAAGGCCACTTTAGTGTTGCACATAGTCTGATGTCCCAAGTGGGCAGTTGGCTCAGTCAGTGCTGCATTAGGAGCATCACTTCACATATAAATCATACTGTAGTTTATTTTTATTCTCTCAATTTGCAAACTCTCAGGAGCAGACTTTGAGCAGTAGCACTAAAGTTCCTAACTTGGTTTGTTTCCACCAGACCCAAAGGATGTTGGCTGTAAAATATACACATCCACATGTAACACTAAGTATAATTCACAATAAAGTGTCTGAGTAGACATACTTACACTAATGTATCTTTATTTGCTGACACATTTTTAACTGGAACCTGGATTTTAGCTTCTTTTTTTTTTATGTAACAAGGTAATGAAAAGTATGCATAGATATTTTCTATTATTTTATTGAGTTGGTTAGCTTAGATTGGAATGTTAGTACATTATAATGAGGAAGTACTGAGGTGTGGTATATTATATTTGTCTTAGATCTGTTGTTGATATCCCATTAGATTTTTAACAATGTTCCCCACCAAACACTGTTTTACATTTATAATTTATGCAGATAATGTACTGTTAGCCATAAGTGCATATATTTTAGTTTTATTTTTTACTAAAATAACTTTTGTTTTAATTTTGCTTAATTTTTTTTTATGCAAGAGGGTACTAAACACACGATGTATAAAAACTCATTAAGCTTAACCTAGTTGGACTTCATAAATAGAGAAGTGTACCATTTTCTTGTATGCACTGTATTTACAGGTACAGTATTATGTAAACATGCTGTAATATACTGCTATTATTATGTAGTCAGATGTATTTTATATACGATACAAATTAATATACTCTTGCCACACAAAATGTCAACACCCACGAGTATAGCAGTACACAGTACACAAGGAGCCAATACCTATTGCAAGTATACCATTTGAATTTCAGTAGTATATTGCTAGCTTGTTTGAGGATCTATGTAGAAGTGCTTTGAGTAGATACAGTTTGGCTTTGCTAGCATAGATAGAATACAAAGATGTATACTGTATTATGACTGGAATAATGAAGGAAAGCTAGAGTGCTGAAATTGAAATGAAGTATAACTGGAGTGATGAATTGGAATGATAATACAGTACCAGAATGTAAGGAGTACAGTAGGTAAAATTAATGAATTTGAGTGAGTTTATCAAAAATTAATGAATTTGAGTGAGTTTATCAAAAATTAATGAATTTGAGTGAGTTTATCAAAAATTAATGAATGATGAAGTGAATTTATTAATTAAATTACAGCTTCTTGTAATTAATCTATGAACATGAAAGAATTATTACAGTGTTCTGCTAAACAAAATTATCTTAATGTATAGTATTCTAATTTACTGTTAATATATGTTGTTCTTTGGTTTTTGTATAAAATATTGTTAGAGGAATCTAATGTTAAATTTAATGTACAGTTGATTCTCATGCAACACATTTATATTACATGTCATCAATATAACACAAATAAATTTTGGTTTTCTATTATCATGTTGCACAGGTAAAAAAAAGTATTGTATGCTGTAGCATATCATAAATTTGGAAAAATAAGCCTGTATCCACATAACATGCCAGTTTTCTCTACAACACTCCATAGAACAGTTTTTCCCCTTCTCTCTGCACCTCAGTTGGACTACAAGTGATCCCATTTGTTTTTTTGGGGGGCAGGCTTAGTGCTGCTACTGTGTAAACAACTTCCCTTGCAGGCTAATAACTGTTAATTTACCTCAGCTCATTCCAAAGCCCAGCCCTATTTAACCCTTTGACTGTTTCAGGCCCCTTTCTGAAACTGTCATTCTATGTCGCTAAATTTTTGAAAAAAAAAAAAATTATTTTTTCTTATGAAATGATAGAGAATCTTTTCCCGATGGTAATGACACCAAAAGTTCAAAATTTTGTCGAAAACTCATGGAATTACGCTCCCGCAAAGTTAGCGGTCTCAGCGACATATACGTATCGGCGATTTCGCCGACTTTGAGCCCTATTTTCAGCCAATTCTGTTTTTCCAGTTGACCAAACTCATAGCTATTTCTTTAGAACTCCATTTTATCTATCAGCTGAGTACAAGAAACTGCCTATTTACCAATTTGGACTACCCAATATTGTGGTCAGAAATTGGCAATTTGGCCAATTTCACACAAACTAAAAAAGATGCCAATTTCAAAATAGGGTCCAGAATAAACAAGGTAGACATTCTTGGCACTAAAATAACATATCCTCTGTTCATTAGTCACATCTCTAGGCCCCTCTTATATTATTATTGCTTTCTATTTTGATTTTTTATTCATACAAAAAAATACAAAATTTACTGTTATGCAGACTACTGCATTATTGTAAAAATGATATAAATAATATCAGTGCACTAGTGAAAGAATATTAGACTCCCCAGTTGACGTGTATTGGACGTGTGGTGTGATTTGTTTACTCCTGAACATTGGTAAAAATCGAACATTTCCGCTACTTTGAGCTCAGTTTCAAAGTCGTTTTCATCGTCAAAGTAATGAAAATCATCTCTATTTCTGTAATATGTTTTCCATTTTATCACCTAAGACCATGAAAACGCAAATACATCAATAAATACTGTACGAAAATACACCTCAAAGTCGGCGTTTTAATCCAAAAAAACGATCAGTTTTTTTTTTCTCATTACGCACTGTGTGCTGCAGGATTTTTTTTTTATGTGGTGCACACTGACCACACAGACCCATTCTCTCACATGTAGGCCTACCAGCTTTCTTCCGCTTGATTTGAAGCCGCTAGAATTATTGAGTATATATACGTCTGAAACACTGGCTCGTAAGACGTATATATACAACCAAAACAGTCAAAGGGTTAAGGTATACTACCACTTCCCCCTCCCTCCCAGGATGCAGTCAATACCAGTTGGCTAACACCCAATTACTTACTGCTAGGTGAAGGCAGCAGGTGCAAGGAAACATCCTGAACATATCTACCTGTACCAGGGATCGAATCCCAGACACTCGGTGTATGAGCTGAGTGTGCAACCAACCAAGCCACAGAACACCATACCTTACTCAATCATATACAATTAAAGCAAATTTGAATACTTTTATTACCCTGCCACATGTCACTCCTGGATATTAACTGTGGCCCTCAAGAGGAATATTAGTGATACTGAAGGTGAGAAGAAATAGAACAAGCGTGACAATATGAGCATTTTTCAAGAAAAGCTGAAAACTAAGTCTCATGAGATGGAGATGGCCTGTGTCTTTGATGTAAACAAAGCAATACCCAGTAATTTGTACAGCTAGAATGAATGAGGCCATGATATGAACTTGTGCCATGAATAACCCTGATTTTGACATGCTGAAAAGAATGGAAGAGAGGTCATTTGAGCTAAATGTGTGGGTTGAGGAGAAAACTAAGGAAGTGTACCCCACTTACTGACCTTATAGTAAAGGAGAAATTCCAGTCTTACTGTTAAATAGTGTGTAACAGGAAGGAAAGCCAGCAAAAGTGTTTTTGTTTACTTCTGGATAGTTTAGCAATTTCAGCATATGCAGTGAGCTGCATATACACTATATATATGATGCTACATGCTGTTGGTAAAGCTGCAGACTTTTGCACTGAAAAGGACCATGATACATCTAGATGCATTGCTGCAAAGTGTGCTCTACAGCAGGCAGTTATGCCTTGTCAGCTTTACAAAGAACTGCTGGGTAAAACAGGGCATGCATACATGGCAGAATGTCTTAGAACTTAAGTACAAGCATCATCTACTGACAACTCTACATTGTTATAACTGCAGCTATCCACCTCAGTTCCAGTCATCCATTTCAGCCCAACTATAGGCATCCATATCAGCCAAGTAAGGCCACATCAACCCTTTCTGTTCATGTCAAGGCCTACAAGTACATCAAACTAGAATTTAAGGTAAGAACAAAAAATTTAAGTACATAATTCGAAATAGTTTTTGGAAGGTTCCAAGGATGTAATCCTATTTTTCCCATAAGTTCTTCACTTCATGTAATATGGAATTCCCACAAAGCACACTTTGGCTAAGAACATAATTACCATCTTATCTGGGAGTCTACTGCATTAACTCTTGTGATTTAATTATATTTAATATTCTTATACGTTCTAGGTAGTAGGTTGGTAGACAGCAACCGCCCAGGGAGGTACTACCATCCTGCCAAGTGAGTGTAAAACGAAAGCCTGTAATTGTTTTACACGATGGTAGGATTGCTAGTGTCCTTTTTTCTGTCTCATAAACATGCAAGATTTCAGGTACGTCTTGCTACTTGTACTTAAACTTAGGTCACACTACACATACATGTACAAGCATATATATATACACACCCCTCTGGGTTTCTTCTATTTTCTTTCTAGTTCTTGTTCTTGTTTATTTCCTCTTATCTCCATGGGGAAGTGGAACAGAATTCTTCCTCCGTAAGCCATGCGTGTTGTAAGAGGCGACTAAAATGCTGGAAGCAAGGGGCTAGTAACCCTTTCTCCCGTATAAATTACTAAATTTAAAAAGAGAAACTTTCGTTTTTCTTTTAGGGCCACCCTGCCTTGGTGGGATATGGCCGGTTTGTTGAAAAAAAAAAAAAATCTTATACGTGTACATATGTATATACTATTCGTTTCAACAAGGTAGATAGTCATGTTGGATATTTATTAAGTCTTCTGCTTATCCCAGTGATGCAGTATGCTGGATGTACAGTCAAACTTGTACATTTTAAAATCTTTCTTTGTTGTGTACGTTTAAATTATTTAGTTATAAGTATTTTAGTATAGATGGTATTCATTGAAAGTTATAACAGCTTTAGTAACTTTATAAAGATTTTAATAAATGTGGTTAAAATTGTCTTCCTCATTTGATAACATTAAGTTTAAAAAAATAAATAATAAAATTAATTATTTAAAAGCATCATTAAAATTTATTAGTTTCAAAACTCAGGTCATGATTGCAAATTTTCCTGAACCCAACAGTACATCAAATTTATTTCCAGACTAATATTAGATGTTCAGGCAGCTACTCTATGTACCTCATATAGACTTCTTTCCCTTTAGGGGGATTACTGTGATGCTGGTGAAGGACTCATAATCCAAGGAATTGGAGCCTTCCTCTTATCATACTTTATTACCTGTTATGACTCCTGAAGGCTTACCACTTCCCCATGATGCTGATAATGGAAATATAAATACATATGCAGTATAATGTGATCCTTTATTGACAACGTTTCGCCCACACAGTGGGCTTTTTCAAGTCACAAACAGATCTACCTGGGGTGGAAGGTATGCGAGTATTTATAGTCAGGTTCAGAATGTTGAGGTCAGGTGGAGAATGCTGCATCTGATGATGTACCGAGTGGGGTTACAGAGTTTGAAATCTTGGGTAGCTTGGAAGGGAGATTGGATAAGTTTGTGAGCAGACCTTCTGCAGTGTTCTTCCATTCCTTTGCTCTTATGTAGGATAGCGATGAAGAAGTTTCTTGGCAAGTGGTTCAGCTATGTTATAGAAGCCATTATTCTGGTTGAAGTTGTCAGATATAGAGATAAGCGATGATTCCAGGATTCTTCGGTATTGAGTGTTGTCTTCTGTGGTGATAAGTCTTGAGTTTCTGTAGTTTATTAAGTGGTTGTGTGAATTATGGTGTTGTACAAAGGCATTCCTTGTATCGTCAGACCTGCTTGCTTACTGGTGTTCTGAAATACGTGTTTGGAGGTCCCTTGATGTTTCGCCCACGTATAATTTGCTGCAGTCATTACAAGGGATTATGTATACCCCTGCAGAGGATGGAAGCTTGTCCTGTCTATTACTGGTAATGTCCTTGATGGTCGTGGTTGTGGAGGTAGATACTTGGAATGAGGTATTGGAAAAGATGTTGGAAACGTGTTTGGCAATGGAGTTGGTGGGGAGGACTATGTATCTCTTCTCGGCAGTGTCTTCTCTGGGTGTGTTGAAGATGTTTCATGCTCGTCGTCTGCAGTCTCTGATGAAGTGACGAGGATAGTGGAGTTTAAAAAATACTTGTTCAATTATAGTGCATTCTTGTTCAAGAAATTCATTGCTGCAGATTCTGAGGAAGAAGCCTATAATTACACCACGTTTAGTTTTGGTGTCATGGTGAGAGTAGAAGTGGAGAAGTTCATTTTGGTTGGTGGGTTTTCGATAGAATTTAAAACAAAGTTCATGGTCAGCTTTGCATTTATGTATTTACTTTTCAATATTGGTATTTAGTTACAGTATTTTGTTCATATATTTATTCAGTGACAGTAGTTATTTATTTACTTATTTAGAATATATTCTTATGCGACTTAGGAAATTTTCAGCTTATGATGGGTTTGTCGGAACGTAGCCCCTTTGTAAGTTGAGGAGCACCTGTACTATTTTTTTTGTTTTGTTTTTTAATAAATTTGTTGGAGAAGACACCATTTTTAAACTCGTGAAGTGCTGTGAGATTCTTAAACAAATTATTTATGTATGTACAAATATTGTGCAATATATCTGAACTCATACAATTACAGTTGAATTAGTAACCTGAAGGCTATAAAAAAATACTGTAGGTGTTCTTAATATATGTTAAAGGTTCACAGGGATTGATAATGCTATAATCCAGGTTCTATGACTATTGAATCACATATTAATGACAACTTATGTAACAGGGTGTTAGAATGCATGGTATGAAAACTTAATGCCTAACAGTAACTAACACTTTTCTAATGTTCTTTATCTTTTACAGTGCAATAGTTGGCCTTTGGTAATTGAATAATCTATAGCAATTGACAAGGACTGTTGAACATTTATTATCACAGTGTTACTATTTTTCTTTTATCTCTGTATCAGTCCCAGCTGCTTTTATAATAGATTATACTATATATATTTGCATATTTTATTTACATTAAACATTTTAATTCGTGCTACAAAGAATGTATATGTACACATTCTGTATATATGTACAGTACTGTATATACATACACAGTTTACCAGAAGGAATATAAAACTATGAAAATTTTTGCTGATGATGCATCTGTCTTATGCAAGATAAGTAGCATATATGACTGTCTCTTCCTGCAGGAAACTCTGGATAGATTGAGCATGTGGAGTGATCTATGGATGCTGGTGTTTAATGTGGATAATTGATGCCATAAAAAATGTAGAAAGTAAAAGCAGGCCACCCGCAAACTTCAGATTGTGAGATTAAATATTAATGGTATTGTATCATATAAAAATATGGATCTTGGTGTTATTAACTAAAGATTGTCACTGGAAGATTGCATAAGTGAAATGATGAGAAACTCCTGTGCAGTTCGAGCCAAGTTTAAGATTTTTTTAACACTTCCCGTCTCCCATTGAGGTAGGGTGACCCATAAAAGAAGAAACACTTTCATCATCACTCACTCCATCACTGTCCTGCCAAAGGCATGCCAATACTACAGTTCAGATGCCCCTCCAAACTGCAGAATCGCCTGCCACCAGCTGCCTTGATAAAAACATCATAACACTCCTATGGGGAGCCACTGCCGGGTCACCACGTGAAGAAGACCTGGGCTAGGACCTGTCCTGGTGAGCCTACCAGTACCTCCTTCAGAGTGGAAGCAATGTTCTCACCTCCAGGAAGTACAGTTCCTGCACTCTGAAGGAGGGAGTAGGGATATTTTACATATATGAATGGGAAATTATGATAAAAGTTTCACAGCACAAATTCTTCCAACACATAGAATACAAACATGTGGACAAAATATAAGTACTGTTTTGTAGTTTCAAAAAGAGCTGCAAAAATGGCTGCTAGACTTATAAGACATGACTTCTGAAGAAAGACTGTGTAGAATATAAAATTCTGAATTTACCTTGTAAATTTTTTACATACCATCATGGGCTGACAGCTGGAAGAGGATGTATAACCACATTTATAATTATCAGAGGTTAGGAAAGGTTCCTAATAACAGCAGGAAAGAGTAGAAGATGGCATTGAGAGTGGTAATGAAGATGACATAGAAAGTGATAAAGATGATGACATAGAGAATGGTAATGAAGATGACAGTGGTAAAGATGATGATGTAGAGAGTGGTAAAGAAGAAGATGAGTGATAAAGAAGTAGAATGAGCGATAAAGAAGTAGAATGAGCTGAGTTGAAAGAGAAAGTCTACTCCTGATGGGTTGAGAATAGATATATCTCAGCTAATAATGTTAGCAAGTCGAAAGTTATGAGGCACAACCAAGAGCTAGAGCTCACCCCACTTCTCCCACAAACTCAAATTAGTAATTATAAATAGGCAGTAACACAAATATGCACACACATCACATACATTACTTTGTGACATTTGTTAAAAAAAAATCTTTTTTTATCTAAAGCAATTATTTACTGTCATTGCAAAGTAAACTAATTAAGACTATGATTATTATTTTGTACAATTGCAATTGTACTTTAAATGCTTATATAAGAATAAGAAGTTTATTTCAGCATGATACATGTTTGTACAGAGGAGAATAACAGTTGGGTGTACATGCTGCAGTATGACTAAATATTTTGTGTATTTTCAGTGTAATGGATATCTGAGATATGTTGCAGTTTTTGAACTGTAGTGTAGGTGAACCTCTAGCAAGACAAGTGATGGGGTAAATGATGATGAAAGTGTTTCCTCTTTTTCAGGTCACCCTGCCTTGGTGGGAAGCAGCTGATGTGTTAATAAAAAAAAATAGACATGTGATTGATATTCATGTTAAGTAGTACCATACTGTATTACATTTAATTTAAGGATATTCACAAATGTATGTTTTTATTAACATAAGTGGTTGATTTAAAATCTTAAGCATTAAAAATCACTGTTTAGCATAACTTGTATTATCCAGTGATGCTAGGATTGAGATCCTGCTGAACATGGATGACTTGGTATTTCACTACTGTAAACTTTTTTTTATTTTTACAAACCATAGACAAAACTGTCTCCTCTACATGATACAGTATTGACTAATAACCTGGTAAGTGGAATATTATTTTCTGGACTCCATGAAATGTATCAAAACTTTCCAACTTTCCAAATCCCCTCTTATTTCATTAGGTTTATCAATTGCTGTTGTCTGCTCTCGAAGCAAATTGGTATTATTAGAGGCTGTATTAAAGTACACTGACATACTCTCTCTATCTTCCTCTGACAGTTCTAGTTTAGAGAGAGATTTTCTGTATAGCTGTTTAACTGCAATTGATGTTTGTGTACTGCACTGACACTAACTTGATTCCAAGTGTTAAAACTTTAGAAGGCACATCGGAAACTTTTTTCTTAACTATATGCTAATCCAGCTATCACATAACTGAAGCAATTAAATGTGCTTGAGCCATGCCATTAGTTGTTTTAAAATTACTGGGTGTCTTAAGAATTAACAAGTCTTCCTGAAGTAACAAGTGGAGCATCTAACTTTCTTCTTCAGCATCCCTGCTCACTCTAAATATTTCATCTTTCTCTATGATGTTAGCTCCTCTTGCCATGCTTTCCTTGATTATTATAATAATATCAGCCATGAAATGTATTGGATAATTCAAGTTGTTGGTTACCATACTGGAACACTAGATAGTACAAGTTTTGCTCTACTCTGTTTGATGTTTTTATAAACTAAAATTTTCTTACCAACTGAGACTGACAGTGTAAGACATGATAACTTGTCAACATTACAGATATAGCAGCCGGTGGGAGTTGTGGTGGTCTCATCAGCAAGGTTCTCCTAGCTAACGCTGATGCTCTCTGCGCTGCTGCCTCACCTCTCATGGATCTTGACGACTCCTCGCTGTACGTCATTCACCTCTCTCCTGGATATATTAACATTATAATTTTTTTAATACACTGGCTATCTCCCACCAAGACAGGGTGACCCAAAAAAAAAAAAACTTTCACCTAGATTAAAATTATAAAATAACACTTAAAGTTTATAAATGCATTCAATACTTTTATATTCAGATCTTAATTTTCATTCATTTGTTTATCAGTCACATTTGGAATAATGGTGTTTGAGTATATAGGTAATACAGTGGACCCCCGCTTAACAATTACCTCCAAATGCGACCAATTATGTAAGTGTATTTATGTAAGTGCGTTTGTACGTGTATGTTTGGGGGTCTGAAATGGACTAATCTACTTCACAATATTTCTTATGGGAAAAAATTCGGTCAGTACTGGCACCTGAACATACTACTGGAATGAAAAAAGTTCGTTAACCGGGGGTCCACTGTAATTATATTACACAACAGGATATATCTGTTAAGTGACTCATTTATGATACAACTGACCCACTCTGTACATAATGCCTATCTGAAATTTCTGCATAATATTAAAGATAGCTCTTCTCCTTTTCCTTGGAACTATTTTTATGGTATAATATTGTGCAAAATGGTGAATAATACAAAAAAAAAGTTCTTTTAATGTTTAATTTTGGTTTTAATCAAGATTTTGAATTTATCCAAATAGAGAAATTGAGGGCTAATTTCTGTGTTTTGAATTTTCTATTTTAGTGAAGTAAAGAAAATTGGAGCCCAACAGTACAGTGGTCCCTTGTTGTTCGTAATTAATCCGTTCCTGGAGCCATTACTATAAACTTAATTTACGATTTACGAATCAATTTTCCCCATAAGAAATAATGTAAATACAATTAATCCGTTCCTGACACTTTTTTTTTTTTTTTTTTTTCAACAAGTCAGCCGTCTCCCACCGAGGCAGGGTGACCCAAAAAAGAAAGAAAATCCCCAAAAAGAAAATACTTTCATCATCATTCAACACTTTCACCACACTCGCACATTATCACTGTTTTTGCAGAGGTGCTCAGAATACAACAGTCTAGAAGCATACACATATAAAGATACACAACATATCCCTCCAAACTGCCAATATCCCAAACCCCTCCTTTAAAGTGCAGGCATTGTACTTCCCATTTCCAGGACTCAAGTCCGACTATATGAAAATAACCGGTTTCCCTGAATCCCTTCACTAAATATTACCCTGCTCACACTCCAACAGATCGTCAGGTCCCAAGTACCATTCGTCTCCATTCACTCCTATCTAACACGCTCACGCACGCTTGCTGGAAGTCCAAGCCCTTACCCACAAAACCTCCTTTACCCCCTCTCTCCAACCCTTCGAGGACGACCCCTACCCCGCCTTCCTTCCCCTATAGATTTATATGCTTTCCATGTCATTCTACTTTGATCCATCTCTCTAATGACCAAACCACCTCAACAACCCCTCTTCTGCCCTCTGACTAATACTTTTATTAACTCCACACCTTCTCCTAATTTCCACACTCCGAATTTTCTGCATAATATTTACACCCACATTGCCCTTAAACAGGACATCTCACTGCCTCTAACGTTCCTCGCTGCTGCATTTACCACCCAAGCTTCACACCCATATAAGAGTGTTGGTACTACTATACTTTCATACATTCCCTTCTTTGCCTCCATAGATAACGTTTTTTGACTCCACATATACCTCAACGCACCACTCACCTTTTTTCCTTCATCAATTCTATGATTAACCTCATCCTTCATAAATCCATCCGCCGACACGTCAACTCCCAAGTATCTGAAAACATTCACTTCTTCCATACTCCTCCTCCCCAATTTGATATCCAATTTTTCTTTATCTAAATCATTTGACACCAAATGTTCCTGACACATAGAAGTATTAAAACAAAAAAAATTTTAACATGAAATATACATGTAGTACATAAACAATACAATGGGAAATGATGAATGAAACATTAACAGCATAACACTTACCTTTATTGGAGATTCTTCTTAGTGTATGGGAGACTGGAGGAGGAGAGAGTGGATTGTTTATAGTTTGGAAGGGGAATCCTCTTCCATCAACACCTCAGGTACCATTTGCTTTTCTGGGGTTGCTTCTCTTCTCTGTTTCTTAATGCCACTAGGACCACCTTGAGAGTCACTGGAGTCCTGTCTCACAAAATAACTGTGGAGAGAGCTCTGTTTCTGGCGTCTCTTTAACACTTCCCTAAAATGGCCCAAGACTTTGTCACTGTACATGTTGCCAACCTGGCTTGCAACAACCTTGTTAGGGTGATGTTTCTCCATAAAGCTTTCCATCTTACCCCACATAGTAAAAATCTCTCTAATTTCTGAAGAAGGCACCTTCTTCCATCTCTCTTCCTCCTCCTCTGCAGCAAGGTTCTGAGCTGCGATGTGTTGCTCTTCCTGCTGAAGCTCTTGCAGCTCCTCAGTGGTGAGCTCTTCATTGTGGTCTTCCACCAATTCTTCCACATCCTCCAAACTCACATCCAGCCCCATGGAACTCCCCAGTGCCACAATTGATTTTACAACAGACATAGGCTCATTAGGGTCAGTCCCAAATCCTTCAAAATCTCTCTTGTCGACACAATCTGGCCACAATTTTCTCCAGGCAGAGTTCAAAGTCCTGGTAGTCACTCCCTCCCAAGCCATACCTATAAGGGTTATGCAGTGGAGGATGCTGAAGTGTTCTCTCCAAAATTCCCTTAGGGTTAAGTGAGTGTCTGTGGTCACAGTCAAGCACCTGTGAAACATTGCTTTTGTGTAGAGTTTTTTAAAGTTTGCAATAACCTGCTGGTCCATGGGTTGGAGGAGAGGAGTGGTATTCGGGGGCAAGAACTTTACTGTGATGAACCCAAACTCTTCGAAAATTAGGTCATCCAAGTTTGGAGGATGAGCAGGTGCATTGTCCATTACTAGCATGCACTTGAGATCCAATTTTTTTTCAGGAGATACTCCTTCACACTAGGGCCAAACACTTCATTGAACCACTCGACGAAAATTTCCCTCGTGACCATGCCTTACTATTAGATTTCCAAAACACACACAATTTACTCTTCATAACATTATTTTTCCTGAACACTCTGGGATTTTCAGAATGGTACACTAGTAATGGCTTCACTTTGAAATCCCCACTAGCATTAGCACAGAACATTAGCGTCAGCCTGTCTTTCATAGGCTTGTGTCCTGGCATTGCCTTTTCCTCTTGTGTAATGAAGGTCCTCTTTGGCATTTTCTTCCAAAAGAGGTCTGTTTCGTCACAATTGAACACTTGTTTAGGTTTCAGTCCTTCAGCCTCTATGTACTCTTGGAATTCATGCACATATTTTTCAGCCGCCTTGTGGTTCGAACTGGTAGCCTCACCATGCCTTACCACACTGTGTATGCCAGTACAGTTCTTAAATCTCTCAAACCAGCCTTTGCTGGCCTTAAATTCACTCACTTCACCACTATTTGCAGGCAATTTCTTTACCAAATCTTCATGCAACTGCCTAGCCTTTTCACAAATAAATGAAGTCATTAGAGTATCTCCTGCTAATTGTTTCTGATTTATCCACACCAATAATAACTTCTCAACCTCTTCCAGTACTGGTGATCTCATTTTTGTCAGCATAGTTACTCCCTTTGCAAAAACAGCATCCTTTATTTCATTTTCTTGGCCACTATGGAACATAAGGTTTTGTAGGGTTTCTTATACATCCTGGACAGTTCGGCCACACTTGTACCACTTTCATATTGTTCAATGATGGTTTTCTTAAATTCAATCGTATTTCTCACCTTCTTTACCACAGGCTTGGCACTAGGAGCTTTCTTTGGAGCCATGGTAGCTTATTTAGTACTTGCAAGCACTAAAATAAATGGAATACAGTGGACCCCCGGTTAACGAACTTTTTTCATTCCAGTAGTATGTTCAGGTGCCAGTACTGACCGAATTTTTTCCCATAAGGAATATTGTGAAGTAGATTAGTCCATTTCAGACCCCCAAACATACACGTACAAACGCACTTACATAAATACACTTACATAATTGGTCGCATTTGGAGGTGATCGTTAAGCGGGGGTCCACTGTATTATGAAATATTTCGCTGGAGCATGTGAGGGGACCTTCGCTCACTGGTAAACAATGCCAGACTGGCTGCCGCCCTGGCTCATGCCGTGCGTACGCGTCCCGGACGAACTACGACTCACGAATCAACCTATGAAAAGCGAGTCCATGTTTATACGAAAATACCCCTATGATTGGCGAATTTTACGATTGCCGGGAACTACAAAAAGCGGGGCACCACTGTACTTAACCCCAGCTGACCAGTGCGTTAACCACTCGGCCAGCTGGCCAGGAGGCTAACGCACTGACCTATGAATTTTAAGACTTGTTCTGTGGTTTTCTTACAATTGTATTATTGTGAGTCTGTCAGTTATGATAAATCAGTATTCAGCTTTCGTCACTTATGTGTTAAACTGTATATACATTCGTTTTCAGAGATGGATTTGATGAAAGGTGCACAATGAATAACTACTTTGGTATTGGTATTGATGCAAAAATTACATTAGATTTCCACAATAAAAGAGAAGAACACCCTGAAAAATGTCGATCAAGAACCAAGAACTTCATGTGGTATGGCGTCCTGGCTTCAAAGGAATGGCTCTGTGTATGTATACATATATATACACAATATATATAGTATATGTGGTATATTGTACAGTTTATTGTATAAAATCTGTTGTATGTAACTGAATAATTCTATATTTCATGGGCTAACATTGCATATCAGATTATTAATAATTAGGTTTAATGTTGCAAACAAAAAATTCATAGATTAAGACTATAACCATCAACCATATGACTTAATTCTGCTTCAGTATATTTCTGGCCATTTTAAAAGTGAGAGCCACATTAGCATGAATATTTGTACTGCATATTTACAATCCACATTTTGGGTTTTATTTTTGTCAATTTTCTATAATTGTTTATTGTATCTAATTGTATGCTTCCCTATATATTCATTGAATTTGTGCAGTTGCAGACATAGTATGGGTTTAGCACTTAGTTTTTATTGTAATAATTGCAGACATAGTGTAGTAATTAGCTTGCTGAATGTACTAAAAAAAGTATTCTGAAGAGATTTGATTTTCTTTGTATTAGTGTAAAATAATGTTGATTAATCTCATACCCATTTTCTTTTTCTCAAGATTGTTGATCAGGTCTTTCCTTTTACATGTAAATGACAGCTTTACTGTAACCCGATTTTCAGTGCTGTCTCTTATAACTGATAAGTTTTTTTTTTTTTTGTAGGAAAGCCTGCAAATAAGTACTTAACCAGCTTTGTCATTGAAATGTGGACTTTTATATCTGCCTAGAAAACATTTTTTTGTAGGATAGCCTTGCAAATAAATACTGTACTTAAATGTGTTCAGCATTGCAATGTTGTCTTTTAATGGTGCTCAGAAAACCTATAAGAACCTGGATCAGCGTGTGCAACTGGAATGTGATGGAGAAAGAATTCCTCTGCCATCACTACAAGGCATCGTTGTACTTAATATTCCTAGGTAAGTCAATAATTGTATGTTCCTCTCTACACAGATAACCCACACATAGGACAAAGAAACTTATGATAGTATTTCATTGTGAGTAGTTAGTGGTCCAAGTTGGACCAAAACGTTGTCATAAATTTCTTTTCCCCATGTGCGGGTTATGTGTGTATCGTTCCAGTTACAGTATTGTGCCTTTTTATTTTTTATGTTTCTCTTTATTCAAATAGTCATCTCCAGATGTTACAGTAATGCTTTGTGTCTTCTCATTCATTGTATCTCTCACTCTTACCCCGAGGGTAGTCTTCTTTTTTGTGGTAGGAAATTTAAAAGCTGAATGTTTTAAGTCCTTAGTTATACTGTATAGTAGTAAATATCATCTGTTTTCTTACCTCTAATCATTGATGATTGTTTACTTACAGTTTTATGGGAGGCACTAATTTTTGGGGAGGAACTAAAGAAGACGACTGTTTTTTGGCACCAAGTTTTGATGACCGAATTCTTGAAGTTGTAGCTGTGTTTGGCTCAGCACAGATGGCCGCTTCCCGCATAATAAATTTACAGCATCATCGAATAGCTCAGTGCTCCAGCATAAAGATCACAATCCTTGGTGAGGCAGGTAATGAAATCCTCATCATGGAAGAACCACCTATGTAGCTGTAACAAGTTGACTAAAATGTTTTCTACTTCTCTTTGTGGTTGAATTCCACTTAGTAGTAATTTTAGGCTTGGCATGTAACTTTGGCTTGTGTGATGAAAGTAATTCAGATGGATGCTGCGAGAATATCTGGCCGAAGCTGTGTAGCAGCTGAGTGGTTTGGGGTAGTCACTCAAGGCAGCATTCAATGGATGAAGTAAATATACCTTGTAATATGAAAAAGCTTCTTTAGACAACACAAGAGAAAGAAGGCAGAAGTGTGTTAAGGAGAAGGGGAGTTATTTCTAAGATGAGAAATAGCTTTAAGAGCATGGCTTAATAGGAATTCAGAGGAACATTTGTGAGATTACTAACACTAACACATTTAGGCTTCACCCTATGCATACCAGGATCATGACATCTATATTAAGTTCAGTCAGGCTGTCAATACAGTACTAAATTCCATGTAATAAAACTCTTCAGTAAGCATTGCAGAGTGCACCAGTACCACACAGTAAATGTATATCACATCTAAAAAAGCCCAGTAGAAATGGAGCATTGTGTAATAGTGAATTTAAGTAAAGTGGACCTGCATAAAGTGAGGGAGACTTGTAAAAAAAATAAATTTCTCACTGTCTTACCTTTCAAGCATTTCCCCATGTTCATAGGCAGAGGCGTCACTAGGGTTGGTGTCACCCGGGGCGGAATCTTGGGTGTCACCCAGGGTAGCATCTTTGGTGTCACCTTCATGAAATCCAAGGGCAGGGGGATGGGGGGAAGTAAACTCCAGTTACATCAGTACTGCATACCCAGTAACTAATGTTTAGCAATGAGAACGTTTAAGGGCTATACACTGAACAGGAGAATACTTCTCAACTTTATAAATGATAAAATAAATAATCGTAGTAATATTGAGGAAACATAAACTCAAATACCACTTTGAGTACAGCCAGCAGATCCTATATTTATTCATCTTCAATAATGCCCCCTAAAAAAAACTTGAAAAATAAAAAAAAACATTGCAGTATCAGAGGAACACTAGTTCTGATTTGACCTTGAGTACAGGTAACATCTCAGTGAATCTGATCTTACATATCCTTGCCCTCATTTCTGCAAAATCATCTATCACATCATCAAAATCAATGATTTTTCCTGTATAGGCCTATATAGGCTATATAGAAACGAAGGATTTTTCTCTCATGTTGGTGCAGTACTGTTTTCGGCATTAGTGTTACTTTCTTTAGAAGCTTTATGGTGTCACCCCCTAAATGATGCCACCCAGGGTGCTCCTCACCCCTTACAATGCCACTGTTCATAGGTCCTTTGAAGTAGATTTTTTATAGTTATTTCTATTTTTTACAAGTTCTTGCATGACTGAAGTGTGATGTGTATCTGAGGTGATTCTTCTATTTATAGCTGTATATGCAACCAGGTTGCATCAAAATAGGATACCACAAAATTACACTAAGCCTGATGGTAGCTAAAAAAACTGCAGTGATATAAAATTGGAAATTTCAGAGTCTAAACAGCATTTAATTAAAATTACAGTAAAACCAATTACAGTGGACCCTCAACCAACAGCTTTAATCCGTTCCAGAGAGCTAGCCTTTAGTCGAACTAATTTTCCCCATAATAGTGGAAATCCTATTAATCCGTTTTAGACAGCCAAAAGTATTAACAAAACAATATTTTTTTTAAAGATTAAATATAAATATACATACAGAAAACAATGACAAACAAATATAAAGCACTAATTAAATGGATAAATGAACCTTTAACATTACACTTACCTTTATTGACTTATCTTTATTAACTTGACTTGTTGGTGTATGATAGACATGTAGGAGGCAAGAGGAAGGCAAGTTTATTATGCTTCATTATGACGCTAATATCATCTCTACGGCTTATTTATCTATCACAGTTTATCTAACATGACATTATAAACAATATTAATAACATAGAAAACATGATATATACTCTAGAATGAATAAAATATGTCATAATGTATGAGAGGAGTAAATGGTGTAAGTGTTGTTGTTGGGTTTAAGGGCTGCCACTGAGAGAAGCCATGTTGGAGGAAATGGAAGCTTCTGCCACCACAACCATCACACTTAAACAATGTATGTAATTTATAAATAAGAAATATTTACATTTTAATTTATAAATAAGTTTATTCAGGTATACACAAATACAGTTACATAGATTATCATACATAGCAACATATGTGTAAAGTACCTAGGATAACCCAAAAAAGTCAGAGTGACTTACATTTTTCCATTGGGGTCCTTTTATATTTACTCTTTCTTTCAACACACCGGCCGTATCCCACCGAGGCGGGGTGGCCCAAAAGGAAAAACGAAAGTTTCTCCTTTTACATTTAGTAATATATACAGGAGAAGAGGTTACTAGCCCCTTGCTCCCGGCATTTTAGTTGCCTCTTACAACACGCATGGCTTACGGAGGAAGAATTCTGTTCCACTTCCCCATGGAGATAAGAGGAAATAAACAAGAATAAGAACTAGAAAGAAAATAGAAGAAAACCCAGAGGGGTGTGTATATATGTGCTTGTACATGTATGTGTAGTGTGACCTAAGTGTAAGTAGAAGTAGCAAGACGTACCTGAAATCTTGCATGTTCATGAGACAGAAAAAAGGACACCAGCAATCCTACCATCATGTAAAACAATTACAGGCTTTTATATTTACACTTAATATATTTACTTTTATGCTTACAGTTTTATATTTACACTTACCTTGAAGGAGATGTTAGTTTAATTAGTTTGATGGAGGAGATGCTGGCAGAGGTTTAGGGTAGTGGAAGATAGCAGGCCGGCGTATGTTCAGCGGATAAACACACATCCAACAACATTGGGGAGTTACTTTCGTGTTGTTTTTCTATCGCTTACTCGCTTAACTTACTTGCTACACTGTTAATTCTACACTTTATCGTTGGCTGGCACTATAGCCTTTATCGATACCTGCTGCTTTAGTATCGTACATATCATAGAATCACCGAATCACTGCAGAACTGCAGAAGACGTATTCTCTCCTCTCTCTTCCTCTTCCACTTTGGTACTTTGCTACGAGTTTTTTCTTGAGTTTTATTGTGTTTCTTTCCTTTTTTATCACAGGGCTGGCACTAGAAACTTTCTTTGGGCCCATGATGGCTTATTTAGTGGTTACAAGCATTAAAAACACTGGAATAATACAAAATGTATCGCAGGTACACATGGAATCGACTGAAATGGCTTGTGAACACTGGCACACTGGCTGTACATGGAGTCTTGGAGTGGCTGGGCCCGCTCAGGCCATGCTCAGGCCGCATGGACATGTTCAGGACAAAAGCCTTTAGATGAGTTTTTCACTGTTGGTAGAGCCAATTTTTTTATGCCAAAGAGCGCCGTTAGTTGATTTTGGCTTTAGTCGATGCCGCCGTTGGTTGAGGGTCCACTGTATTACAAAAGTGTTTACAGGTACTTTAAAGAAAATACAGAATATATCATATTTCTTGCTGTAGTTGCTACTGAGTGTTAAAGATTATACCTGATGCCAGTTTTCTTTCTTACAGGTGAAGAGGGAGTACCAATTCAGGTTGATGGTGAAGCATGGACACAACCTCCTGGAATTGTTCGCATTGTTCACAAAAACAGAGTACAAATGCTTTGCAGGAATCGGGTAAGTTATTTATTATGTTACCTGAATTAAAAGTTAACTGGAATTTGCTCATTTTTAAAACTGATATACCTACTATTTCCTCCATGGGGAAGTGGAACAGAATTCTTCCTCCGTAAGCCATGCATGTTGTAAGAGGCAACTAAAATGCCGGGAGCAAGGGGCTAGTAACCCCTTCTCCTGTATATATTACTAAATGTAAAAGGAGAAACTTTCGTTTTTCCTTTTGGGCCATCCTGCCTCGGTGGGATACGGCCGGTGTGTTGAAAGAAAGAAAGAAAGATACCTACTATTTACATAGTCCTTTCAAGGATGGTGTCTTCATCCTGGTGAGGGGCTCTTAATCCAAGAAATGAGCTAGCTGCCGCCTCTTTAGATCAAACCTGTTTAACCCCAATTTTCCTATATTTTTCCTCCCTCTCTATGAATTTAGTATTTCCCCAGGAATATAATAACATTTCCACTGGTAATACATTAATATAGCTGTGGTTGGCAAATTAAGCAGTTGAGTGCATTGCCCATAATTTTAATATTGAATCTCAAATTATTTAGTGTTTTAAGTGAGTATAAAGTTAATAAATATAAATATTAAATTAAAAATATACATTGTATGTGCAGTTATCTTAGTAATATAAAGATTTAATCAGTGGTTGTAGATTAATGTAAGTTAAGAAGAGACTGCTTTTTTTTTTATTAACACATTGGCCATTTACTACACTCATCATCATCATTCACTCCATCTTGGCAGATGCGAGCCTACACTACAGCTTAAAAACTGCAACATATCAACACCTCTCCTTCAGAGCACAAGTCTGGCTTTACATACTCATAAAAAGTACAATGCTTGCACTTTAAAGGAGGGGTTGGGGATATTGGGTGTTTGGAGTGACGTCTAAACTGTTATATCAGGGTGCCTCTGCAAAGACACTGATTATGTGTGAATGATGGTGAAAGTGTTTCTTTCTTTTTTGGGTCACCCTGCCTCGGTGGGAGACAGCCAGCGTATTAAAAAAAAAATTTACTTGCAGTAAAGGCAGTGCAGGCAACCCCCACATAACAGTGGAGGTTAATGCATTTATGTTTAGTGAAGACAGTGTTGGCAACCCTACTTAATGATAGGGGTCAGTACATTGATTTTGGCCTATAGTGTTAATGTCTGTGGCTAACATGGTGATTTAGGAGGTCATGAATAGTTTGAGATTCAAGAGATTTGTTGAAGAATAATTGCTCGAGCTTTCTTGTATATAAAATTATTTTATTTTATTACCCTAACATCCATCTCTTGCCAAGGCAGGGTGACCCACAGAAGAAAACATCTTTCTTTCTTTCAACACACCGGCCGTATCCCACCAAGGCGGGGTGGCCCAAAAGGAAAAACTAAAGCTTCTCCTTTTACATTTAGTAATATATACAGGAGAAGGGGTTACTAGCCCCTTGCTCCCGGCATTTTAGTTGCCTCTTACAACACGCATGGCTTATGGAGGAAGAATTCTGTTCCACTTCCCCATGGAGATAAGAGGAAATAAACAAGTCTCTAGAAAGAAAATAGAAGAAAACCCAGAGGGGTGTGTGTATATATATGCTTGTACATGTATGTGTAGTGTGACCTAAGTGTAAGAAGAAGTGGCAAGACGTACCTGTAATCTTGCATATTTATGAGACAGACAAAAGACACCAGCAACCCTACCATCATGTAAAACAATTACAGGCTTTCATTTTACACTCACTTGGCAGAATGGCAGTACCCCCCTGGATGGTTGCTGTCTACTAACCTACTACCTACAAGAAGAAAACATTCTTTTCTTTCAACGTACCAGCCGAATCCCACCGAGGTGGGGTGACATAAAAGGAAAAATGAAAGTTTCTCCTTTCAAATTTAGTAATATATACAGGAGAAGGGGTTACTAGCCCCTTGCTCCCGGCATTTCAGTCGCCTCTTACGACACGCATGGCTTACGGAGGAAGAATTCTGTTCCACTTCCCCATGGAGATAAGAGGAAATAAACAAGAACAAGAACTAGAAAGAAAATAGAAGAAAACCCAGAGGGGTGTGTGTATATATATGCTTGTACATGTATGCATAGTGTGACCTAAGTGTAAGTAGAAGTAGCAAGACATACCTGAAATCTTGCATGTTTATGAGACAGACAAAAGACACCAGCAATCCTACCATCATGTAAAACAATTACAGGCTTTCGTTTTGCACTCACTCGGCAGGACGGTAGTACCTCCCTGGGCGGTTGCTGTCTACCAACCTACTACCTATAAAGAAGAAAACATGTTTACCATTATTCACTCATTTTCTGTTTTGCGAGAAGTATGCTGATATGAACAGTTCAGATTACTCTCTCATTTCAATGTTCCCACCCATTCTTAAAAGTGCAGGCATTGCTCTTCCCACCTCCATGCTTCAATCTTCCTAAATGTTATTTAAATTATTCACTCTATTTTTAATCAAAATTTTGGTTATAAGCTTAAGTAATTTAGGAAGTTAGTGGGGAAGTATGTTCACACTGTATTTATTCTTACTTGTATCTAGCTCGATCTCTAGCACACTCAGCTCACACGCTGAAGTCCGGGGTTCAAATCTCCTCCAGTACGGCTGGAAAACATTAGGGACGTATTTCCATCAGACACCTACTGTCCCTGACCCTGTTCACCCATCAGTGTAAAATGGATACCTGGGTGTTAAAGTTAACTGGTGTGGGTCGCATCCTGGGACAAAACTGACCTAATTTGCCCGAAATGATCATCAGGAGGCCTGGTCACAGACCGGGCCGCGGGGGCGTTGACCCCCGGAACTCTCTCCAGGTAAACTCCAGGTAATAACAAGTGGCTTTCTGTATAATAGTATGTCATTGATGTCAGCTAGGCCTGTATACCTTGTACATGTACTTGCAGTAAATAACTATTATTATTATTATTATTATTATTATTATTATTATTATTATTATTATTATTATTGTTTTTATTTTTATTATGGATAAAAGAACTTCTCTCTGATAAAGAGCAAATTGGAAAAGATACTGTGTTTTAATTTTAACAATAGATTTTAACCCTTAAAGGGTCCAAACGTATACAGGAAGGCCCCACTTATACGGCGGGTTAGGTTCCAGGCTACCGCCGTAAAGCGGAAATCGCCGTAAAGTGGAACACCCTTTTTTTCCACTTATAAATGCATACAAACACTAGATAACAAGTTTACACTAACATATATTAAGTTAGCAATAGAACCAGGCATCAAAAAACAATAAAAAGGTACAATACACACATAGTGCACTCATTACTTACCTTAAAATATTTATAGTCTTAATCTAGGGTGAGACAAGTAGTATTTATTGTAAGAAATCAAGTGTGGTATGTATTGTAATAGCCTCACCAGGCCACCCCACCCACACATACTATTCTATGATATTTAAGCATCCCAGAGCGATAAAATGTATATACAGTTCACTCATTACTTACCTTAAAATATTTGTAGTCTTAATGTAGGGTCAGGAGTAAGTAAATGAGATAAAACGAATAAATGAGAGAGAGAAAGAATGAATACATGAGAGGGGGCAGGCGCAGTTATGTAAACAAACCAGGGGAAGGTAAGTTTTGTAAACAAACGAAGTGTACACGTCTGGTTTGTGTACAAGTTACATTGTGTACAGGTTGTCTCTACATTGATACGGTAGAATTAATAAAGAAGAACACTCCCATTCTCATGTAACATCATTTTGAGAAGAAATGAAGCTCTGAGTGAAGGCAATGGAAATAAGTCACACTGACTTTTTTGGGTTATCCTAGGTTCTCTACACGTATGTTGTTATGTATGATAATCTATGTAACTGTATTTGTGTATACCTGAATAAACTTACTTACATACATACGAAAGGAATAATTTTCTACAGTTACCCCCAGTAACACATTTACTCTTATCTTAGATTAGAGAAAATGTATTCTTGGCGTCACTTGTCAAGTTATGTGGCTCCCACATCTTATATTTATGTTTATTTTATTCTATTGTGGGTGTATTTATCATCTTTTTATGTTATGTATCGTGTTTATTATATAATTTTGAAAAAAATATCATGGATGGATTAATGAAAAATGTGTATATTACCGTAATATACGACATTTAATGAGACTCGGTATTGTTATTATCACCACTTGTGCAAGTCGTCTGCTACGACATCTCACATTTGTTTATTTATTCTACTGTGGGGTGTATTTATCTTATTTATATGTTATGCATCGTGTTTATTATATGATTTTGAAAAAAATATCATGGATGGATTAATGAAAATGTGTATATTACCGTAATATACGACATTTAATGAGACTCGGTATTGTTATTATCACCACTTGTGCAAGTCGTCTGCTACGACATCTCACATTTGTTTATTTATTCTACTGTGGGGTGTATTTATCTTATTTATATGTTATGCATCGTGTTTATTATATGATTTTGAAAAAATATCATGGATGGATTAATGAAAATGTGTATATTAACGTAATATACGACATTTAATGAGACTCAGTATTGTTATTATCACCACTTGTGCAAGTCGTCTGCTACGACATCTCACATTGTTTATTTATTCTACTGTGGGGTGTATTTATCTTATTTATATGTTATGCATCGTGTTTATTATATAATTTTGAAAAAAAATATCATGGATGGATTAATGAAAATGTGTATATTAACGTAATATACGACATTTAAATGACTCGATGTATGTAAGTTTATTTAGGTACAGGTATACATAAGTATAATTATCAGAGTATATATAAAATATGAAATAACTTTTAAAAACATTTGAAATTTTGGAGTTTCCAGACAAAATGGAGAGACTTAGTGCTTACTGAGCTCATGGAGAATGTAAACAAACAGGGTGGGGCACGGTGACCGTATTAGAAAGTCAGGTGGGGGGAGCCGTATAGTGAGTTTTGGTCATAATTTGAAATGTCCGTATTAGCGGAACGCCGTAAAGTGAAACGCCGTAAAGCGGGGCCTTCCTGTATATACGTTTTTTCAACATCTGAAAGTATGTAAAAAAATGTAGATCTTTTTTGCTTATATTTGAAAATGTGTAAAAAAAACTTTTATCTACATTTTTTTTTGTTATATTTGAAAATATGTAAAAAAAAAGTAGATCTACTTTTGTAGCACTACGAATTTGAACGTCGATCTCTTTGGGCCGTTTAAGGGTTAAATAAAACAAGATGAGGAATTATTTATGTTATTACAGTGTGTACCTTTTATTTCTAGGACTTAGAAGTTTCACTCAAGGCTTGGGAGGAGAAACAGCGCAGTAGCGGCAGCCAGACTAAACAGTTAACATTACTTGCTGATGAGGAGCTTCCTGTACTTGCAACAATAGCTTCCTCAGTAAGAACACTTAAAATATATGTTAATTGGGCAGTTTGTATTTGGATATATATGCTGTGTTATATACTTATTGCATGCCTCTACAGTTGACAGTCATAGGTATGTTATACAGGCTAGAGCAGGGGTGGGCAACCCTTAGTACATGTGCCAAACTTGGCACGCCGACTTCCTGCCGGCACGCTAACCTCTGGTCTCGTCTCAAAAAAAAAAAAAATTGCGACATTTATCACGTATTCTTTCAAGAAAAGTGGGGAAATAGTCCCCATGTATTTCCAGAGATTTTGTATCATGGCCAACTTTGGCATGCACACTTAAAAAAGGTTGCCCACCCCTGGGCTAGAGGCATGTAATGTTAAGAGTAAAATGTGCTAGATATGGTAATCTAGTATATTTCCCAACTGTATACTTAAAGTTACTGTCTCCCATGAAGATAAACTTTGTGAATAGTACAAAGAGTGCTTAAAAACCTTGAATAAATCTAGTAGAGCTTGATACTGTACAAAAACCTCACTTGTACACCTACCATGCCAGCATTTTTTGTGTTATACATGGGAGGGAAGTAAGAAAATCATTGGTTATTTATGAGGAACAGTGCAACCTGCTGAAGTGTAATAGTCACTGTTAGACCAATGTAGTTTGAGGCTAGAAGCTACCAGATTAGATCAAGAACAAAGTGTTTAATATGATGAAAGCTGTGAAAATGCAAAGAAAAAAAGTGGTGGGAAAAATGTGGGGGAAGTTTGTGAGGCATTGGGTAGAATGAAAGGGGTTAGGCAGCTGGGATTGATGGGGTAAAGATAGAAATGTTAATAGCAGGTGGGAATATAGTTCTGGAGTGGTTGGTGCTGTTATTTAATAAATGTATGGAGGAGGGTAAGGTACCTAGGGATTGGCAGAGAGCATGCATAGTTCCTTTGTATAAAGGTAAAGGGGACAAAAGAGAGTGCAAGAATTATAGGGGAAGAAGTTTGTTGAGTATTCCTGGTAAAGTATATGGTAGAGTTATTATTGAAAGAATTATGAACAAGATGGAGAGTAGGATAGCAGATGAACAAGGAGGATTCAGGAAAGGTAGGGGGTGTGTAGACCAAGTGTTTACAGTGAAACATATAGGTGAACAGTATTTAGATAAGAGTAAGGAGGTTTTTGTGGCATTTATGGATTTGGAAAAGGCATATGACAGGGTGGATATGGGAGCAGTGTGGCAGATGTTGCAAATGTATGGAATAGGAGGTAGGTTATTGAAAGTGATGAAAAGTTTTTACGAGGATAGTGAAGCTCAGGTTAGAGTGTATAGGAGAGAGGGAGATTATTTCCCAGTAAAAGTAGGCCTTAGATAAGGATGTGTGATGTCACCGTGGTTATTCAATATATTTATAGATAGGGTTGTAAGAGAAGTGAATGCCTGAGTGTTGGCAAGAGGTGTGGGGTTAAAAGATAAAGAATCTAACACAAAGTGGGAGTTATCACAGTTGCTTTTTGCTGATGACACTGTGCTTTTGGGAGACTGAAGAGAAATTGCAGAGGTTGGTGGATGAGTTTGGTAGGTTATGTAAAACAAGAAAATTAAAAGTGAATTTAGAAAAGAGTAAGGTGATGAGGATAAAAAATTAGGTAACAGAAGATTGGATATCAGGTTGGAGGGAAAGGGTATGGAGGAGGTGAATGTCTTCAGATATTTAAGAGTGGACATGTCAGCAGATGGGTCTATGAAAGATGAGATGAATCATAGAATTGACGAGGGAAAAAGGTGAGTGGTGCACTGAGGAGTCTGTGGAGACAGAACTTTGTCCATGGAAGCAAAGAGAGGAATGTATAAGAGTATAGTTATACCAGCGCTCTTATATGGGTACGAAGCATGCGTGGTGAATGTTGCAACAAGGAGAAGGCAGTGGAGATGTATCTGAGGGCAATATGTGGTGTGAATATAATTAGTAGTTTGGAAATGACGAGGTGCGGGATTACCAAATCTATTATCCAGAGAGCTGAGGGGTTGTCGAGGTGGTTCGGACATGTAGAGAGGATGGAACAAAATAGAATGACTTCAAGGGTGTGTAAATCTGCAGTGGAGGGAAGGTGGGGTAGGGGTCGGCCTATGAAAGGTTGGAGGGAGGGGGTAAAGGGGGTTTTGTGTGCAAGGGGCTTGGACTTCCAGCAGGCTTGCGTGAGCATGTTAGGAGTGAATGGAGACAAATGGTTTTTAGGACTTAATGTGCTGTTGGAGTGTGAGCAGGGTAATACTATTTATGAAGGGATTCAGGGAAATCAGCAGGCTGGACTCGAGTCCTGGAAATGGGAAGTACAGTGCCTGCACTCTCAAGGAGGGGTGTTAACCCTTTCAGGGTCCGTCCCGTAGATCTACGGCTTTATGTTCAGGGTCCAAACCGTAGATCTACGTCATGAGCTCAGCTCACTCTGATGAACTGTGAGTGGTACATTTGGACCTTGATATGAGAAAATACATCTATGTGGTATGTGTGCACCACATAAAATAAATCCTGCAGCACACTGTGTATAATGAGAGAAAAAAACTGAGACCATGATTTTTCGATTAAAACAGCCAATTTGCAGTGTTTTTTTGTATGTTTTTTATAATTGTATTTGCGATTTCTTGGTCTCATTTGATAGAATGGAAGACATATTACAGAAATAGAGATGATTTTGATTGGTTTTAGCACTGGAAATGGCTTGAAACTGAGCTCAAAGTAGCGAAAATGTTAAATTTTTGCTGATGTTCAAGAGTAAACAAACGATCTCACACGTCTAATACACGCCAGCTGGTGGGTCTAATATACATTCACAAATGTGGTGATGATATTTATACAATTATTACAATATTGCATAACAGTAAATCTTCTATTTTTTGGTGTGAATAAAAATTCATTATGTGAATAAAAAATCAAAATGGAATCTATTTGTAAAGCCTCAAAATGTAACTAATGAACAGAGGAAATGTTAGTTTAGTGCCAGGAATGCCTGCATTGTTTATTCTGGACCCTATTTTGAAATTGGAATATTTTGAACTTTGTGTTAAATTGGCCAAATTACCAACTTCCAATCACTTTATTTTGTAGTTGAAACAGTTGACTTGGCGATTTCTTGTGCTCAATTGATAGAATAGAAGTAATACTAGTGAAATAGCTAAGAATTTGGTCAACTGGAATAATGTAATTGGCATAAAATGGGAGCCAAAGTCGGCAAAATCGCCGATTCGTAAATATCGCTGACACGTCAAAATTCGCGAGAGCATAATTTCGTCAATTTTCCATCAAATTTCGTACTTTTTGTTTTATTACCTTCACAAAAAGATTCTCAAGCATTTCATAAGAAAAAATAAATATTTTTTTTTTTTTTAAATTCTTGGACACTGGGGCACCACTTCAGATTTTGGCCTTGGACCCTGAAGGGGTTAATGTTGCAACTTTATAATTGTAGTGTAAGTGCACCTCTGCCAAGACAGTGATGGAGTAAATGATGGTGAAAGTTCTTTTTTTTTTGGGGGGGGGGCTACCCTGCCTTGGTGGGAAATGGCTGATGTGTTAATAATAAAATTAAAAATTAAGATGCAAATTTTTAGTATGACAAAATATAAAAAGTGCATGTGAGGGTCTAGTCTCTGATATATCATTATTATTATTATGTAATTTTTTATTAGTACAGTATATTTAACCCTTTCAGGGTCCAAGGCCAAAATCTGAAGTCACGCACCAGTGTCCAAGAATTTTCCGAAAAAAAATTTGTTATTTTTTCTTATGAAATGGTAGAGAATTTTTTTGTGAAGGTAATAAAACAAAAAGTACGAAATTTGATGGAAAATTGACGAAATTATGCTCTTGCGAATTTTGATGTGTCAGCGATATTTACGAATCGGCGATTTTGCCGACTTTGACTTCCATTTTAGGCCAATTACATCATTCCAGTTGACCAAATTCTTAGCTATTTTACTAGTATTACTTCTATTCTATCGATTGAGCACAAGAAATCGCCAAGTCGACTGTTTCAACTACAAAATAAAGTGGTCGGAAATTGGTAATTTGGCCAATTTAACACAAAGTTCAAAATATTCCAATTTCAAAATAGCATCCAGAATAAACAATGTAGGCATTCCTGGCACTAAACTAACATTTCCTCGGTTCATTAGTTACGTTTTGAGGCTTTACAAATAAATCCCATTTTTATTTTTTATTTACATAATGAATTTTTATTCACACCAAAAAATAGAAGATTTACTGTTATGCAATATTGTAATAATTGTATAAATATCATCACCACATTTGTGAATGTGTATTAGATCCACCAGCTGGCATGTATTAGACGTGTGAGGTCGTTTGTTTACTCTTGAAGATCGACAAAAATTTAACATTTCCGCTACTTTGAGCTCAGTTTCAAGCCATTTCCTGTGCTAAAACCAATCAAAATCATCTCTATTTCTGTAATATGTCTTCCATTCTATCAAATGAGACCAAGAAATTGCAAATATAACTATAAAAATCATACGAAAAAACACTGCAAAGTTGCTGTTTTAATCGAAAATCTTGGTTTCAGTTTTTTTTCTCTCATTATACACAGTGTGCTGCAGGATTTTTTTATGTGGTGCACACATACCACATAGATGTATTCTCTCATATCTAGGCCCAAGTGTACCACTCACAGTTTATCAGAGTGAGCTGAGCTCATGACGTAGATCTACGGTTTGGACACTGAACGCAAAGCCGTAGATCTACGGGATGGACCCTGAAAGGGTTAAGTAAGGGTTTTGTATTCCATATTTTCCTATCATGCAAATGAATTATCATCACATTGACAGTGAATGAATGACTGGATGCGGTGATATGTTTGAGGCTGTTGCAAATAAATATTCATTTTTACAGGTTGCAGATGTTGTCAGCTGTGTTCGCATGGCAGCTTCTTCCACTCCTGCTCTGGAGAGTCATCTTGGAGAGTTGGCATCATCAGCTGCCACCTGCTTAGAGAAGATTTGGCGTGATGGAAGAATTATTGAAAGTGTAAGCATAGAAAAATTAATTTAGCTCGGTGAATCATAGGAGTTTCTTTTCAAAATCAGCATTTTCTTTACATTCCTTGTTGTCATATTAATTCTGCTTTAAAGTTGATGTAGTTGTAATATAAAAGAATGTCTTAAAATGTTCGGTAAAAAGCTCGCAAGTGAGCTATAAAAACCTAACTATCTGACGTGTAGGGAGTGAGCGAGGGTGAAGGAGAGTTTTGTTGAAAAAGTGTATTGATATATTTTTATGGGTAATTGGGTACCTCTTTGTTACTGTATTGCTCTTGTCTATAAATGCTGTAAAAAATATTCCCTCAACAGCCAAACCTACGAATGTTAGCAACAGAGCTGGTTAATAATGTTCGAAATTTGCACGGAGAAGTTTTCAACTTGCTGAAAGAAGAATCTTTGGTAAGCTTATATTTTATTTTATTTGAGATTTAATGATTATGATTAAATTTGCCCACAAAAATTCTCACCAGTAATAGTAGAGTACGCTGTAGTAACATTTTAACCCAAGAAAACATTGAGCTTTGCTGTTATCAGCAGAGTGACCTGTTTTGAGAGTGAGACATATAGCAAGTTGCATTTATATCTTGTTACTTCATTGGACAATGCTAAATTTCACTTAATGGAATATTTCTCCTAGATTTATTGATCCTTGCTTCAGCTGTCAAGTTATTAGGAAATACAGTATATAATAATCATCATCATTCATCTTCTCAACCCAGTCAACTACTAGTAAGAAAGCAGCGGTCTGGAAAATATTAAAAATGTAGGAAAGTGCGAAAGACAGCCACTTTGATGTTGTCTTTCACACGTACATCAAGAAGTATCATAACTGTCACTCATATGTTATTTACAATGCTATAGTATTTCACCTGTTTCAAAGTCTAGCTGTCATTTTATTTTATAATAGTGTCAGTGATGGCAAAAATAAAAATAAAACAATCATTATTTAGTGTGGCTGTAAAACAGTGGCTTTTGGAAAATGAGTAATTTTAATTAAGGCTGCCTCTGAAATTACAGTGACGAAGCATTTATGTACAAACTTACCAACTGACCTAAATAAAAATTTTTACTTCAAGGAGTAATATTAGGTAAGCTGGAGTACAAAATGTTATTCTAATCTGATTATCATTTGGGAGTTATTAAAAAGTACAGTGGAACCTCAGCTTACGAGTGCCCCAACATATGAGTTTTTCAGGATACAAGCTGTCGCTCAGTCGATTTTTTTGTTTCTGGATACCAGCAAAAATTCAAGATGTGAGCTTCCCCTTCAAACAACTTTTTTTTTAGACATCCAGATCTTACAAAAATAAAAGTGAATATATAATTGTACTTCATTGTCGTGATGTATTATTTTTTTTTTTTTACTGCTTAAGATTATAGCTACAACAGAAATAATAGTATTTCTTACCTTAAATTGTGCGTGCTGGTGTTTGTCGATGATTGTGAAGAGAGTGGAGAGTTATGTTGTGGCCCTACTGGGCTGAGGTGGATGGTATGGAGGGTCTGGTACTGAAGTTGATGATTGTACTGGGGTGTTCATAAATTCTGTAATGGATTTCTTTTCTGTTTTACCCTGCAGTACATTATACAACTGACGGTAAGGCATCAGCTACTCTAGACACTGTTTCAGGGCCCTCTTCAGTGAAAAAGTCTAACTTTAAGTCATTCAGTAAGTCAGTCAAGTCTGTAAGTCCATCAGTCAAGTCAGTAAGTCATTCAGTCAAGTCAGTCAGTCAGTAAGTCAAATGCTGTGCCTAGCATCTCTTCTCCATCATCAACCTCCGCCAACGAAATACTGAAGTATTTTGTCGTGCCTGGAATTCCTCTGGAACGGATTAATGCTATTTCAATTAATTTAAATGAGGAAAATTGACTCAACATACAACCAAATCGGGATACGAGCAAGGTCACGGAATGGATTAAACTCGTATGCTGAGGTTTCACTGTATTTCATTATTAATAATAAAATATATGGTATTACAGAAAACAAAATACGTACTCCCAAAATAATAAAACATGGTACTATATTAAGTTACGTATTATGTAAGGAGAGGAAGTTAAAGTTTATTTATTCAGAAGAGTAAAATTCCATAATTTAAAAATCTTGGCTCTCCCTGGTGTTACTAACTTATTGCTGTTCTTGGCATTACTCATGTATTTGTGGTTATACTTCAAAGGAAAGGTTTAGGATATTGGGTGTTTGGAGTGACGTCTAAACTGTCATATCTGGGTGCCTCTGCAAAGAGAGTGATTATGTATGAAAGATGGTGAAAGTGTTGAATGATGGTAAAAATGTTTCTTTTTTTAGGTCACCCTGCCTTAGTGGGAGACAGATGGCATGTTGAAAGGAAAAAAAACTGATAACACTGAATATACAGTTGTGATGGATTTTTGAACACAGTATGTGTTCTAGATCATAAGTATACATATTGAATACAAGAAACAGGAGAGCACTTAGTATGCTGCTTGTGGAACACTGGTATTTATTGGGAGTGACTTTGACTCTGTAGTGCCATTTACATTAACTGTACACAGGTGTCTGTTACTTATGTAAGATGATGTTTTTTAAGGTCTTCAGAATATACAGTGTGTTTTTCACTTATTCAAATTTGTCTTTTGCCCCATTTTTTCTTATTTTTTCACTGATGTACAATTTTGATCACCTGTGAATAAGAAATACCACTGTGAAATACAGTATATGTCAATTTTCTTTTATATTTTAATTAAAATGCCTTAGTTCATTTTGCTGGGAGTGATTTTAACCTAATAGTTACTGTTTTCTTTATACGTATATGGTTCTAAACTGTTGTGTTCCGAGCACCTCTGCAAAAACAGTGTATTATGTGTGAGTGAGGTGAAAGTGTTGAATGATGATGAAAGTATTTTCTTTTTGAGGATTTTCTTTCTTTTTGGGTCACCCTGCCTCGGTGGGAGACGGCCGACTTGTTAAAAAAAAAAAAAGTTACTGTTATCCTCCATGGGGACGTAGAACAGAATTCCTCCTCTGTAAGCCATGCATGTTGTAAGAGACGACTAAAATGTCAGGAGCAAGAGGCTAGTAACCCCTTCTCCTGTATATATTACTAAATGTAAAAGGAGAAACTTTTGTTTTTCCTTTTGGGCCGCCCCGCCTGAGTGGGATATGGCCGGTTTGTTGAAAGAAGAAGTTACTCTTGCATGAAATCTTAGCAAAGCACATAATTTCTAAATGTTTTAGTATTGTTTATTGTTTGCAATTGAGCATTCCCAGTATTCTCAATAAGATAAACTCTGTGTAAGTTAACTACATATAGTTGTATAGAATCTATTATACATTCATGTCAAACCTGAATTAATGTGGGTGCTACAAGCATTTTTTTTTAATCATAAAACGTAAAAAAAATTCCTTAATTTAAAACTGATCAATCTTTTTAATCATATCCAGGAAATAAATAAAGGATTAGAAGAAAATCTACAAGGGACATTGGAAAATCTGGACAGCTCTCTGAAAAGTGCACACGAGAAGGACAGCGTGATGTACTTTGTTTCTGATGAGGAGGTAAGCTTTGCTATAATTTAATTAATATTTAGTGGACATACAACAGGCATGTGTGAATGTGTTAGCTAGGTGTACCGCCCTGGCCAATGTATGAAATTATCACCTCCCTTTCTTCATCGACATTTTATAGTTTCTCAAAATATTCCCGCCATCTACCCAATACCTCCAGCTCCCCATCTACTAAGTCCCCTATTTTTTATTTTTTTTTATTTTATTGCCAGTTTCCTTTTGTCTCGTCTACCTCTAGCTACAACTAAATAATGATCCGATATATGAGTTGCCCCTCTATAAACATGTACATCCTGAAGCCTACCCATCAACCTTTTATCCAGCAATACATAATCTGACAAACTACTTTCATTACATGCTATATCATACCTTGTATACTTATTTATCCTCTTTTTCATAAAATATGTATTACTTATTACCAAACTTCTTTCTACACATAGCTCAATTAAAGGCTCCCCATTTTCATTTACCCCTGGCACCCCAAATTTATCTACTACTTCCTCCACAACATTTTTACCCACTTTAGCATTGAAATCCCCAACCACAAGTACTCTCACACTTGGTTCAAAACTCCCCATGCACTCGCTCAACATTTCCCAAAATCTCTCTCTCTCCTGTACACTTCTCTCTTCTCCAGGTTTATAAATGCTTACTATAACCCACTTTTCACATCCAACCCTTATTTACTCCACATAATCCTTGAATTAATACATTTATATTCCCTCCTTTCCTGCCATAACTTACCCTTCAATATTATTGCTACTCCTTCTTTAGCTCTAACTCTATTTGAAACCCCTGACCTAATCCCATTTATTTCTCCCCACTAAAACTCTCCCATCCCCTTTAGCTCTGTTTCACTTAAAGCCAGGACATCCAACTTAACATTCATAACATCCACAATCATCTCTTTCTTATCATTTGCACAACATCCATGCACATTCAAACATCCCACTTTGACAGTTTTCTTTTTTGTCTTTTTAGTAGGCTATACGGGAAAAGGGGCTACTAGCCCATTGTTCCCAGCATTTTAGTTGACTTTTACAACACACACTTCATGGATATAAAAAGAAAAGCAATAAGAACAAGACCTATTAAGATAAAATAAAGAAAAACTCAGATGAGTGTGCATACATAAACGTGTACATGTATGTATAGTGTGACCTAAGTGTAAGTAGAAGTAGCAAGACGTACCTGAAATTTTCCATGTTTATGAGACAGAAAAAAGACAGCAGCAATCCTACCATCCTGTACAACAATTACATGCTTTTGTTTTACACTCGACTTGGCATGATGGTAGTACCTCCCTGGGTGGTTGCTGTCTACCAACCTTCTACCTTATAAATCTACCTTATGAATCTAATATTATCTGTAATTTAGTCATTGTTATTAATAATATGTATGGATCAGTTTTACTATGTTGATTGAGGGGAAAGGTATCCCAAGTCTCCTACCATAAGAATATAATGCTTCACTTTATTTTGTGGAATAATCTTAAGAACATAGAGAGTTTTATTTCTTTGATCTTTTCTTTTGCAGGGTGAGCGGAAGAGAGTCCATTCAAAAGGAATATTTAAACTAAAACTGAAGCGAGAAGGGCGACGAGGAGGATTCGAAAGAGAAGTGAGAGAATGGGGTCCAGAAGAGGTTGCTGTTTGGCTTGACACTCTACAACTGACTGAATACCAAGAATCTTTCATTCGTCATGACATACGAGGCTCAGAGCTATTGAATTTAGAGAGAAGGTAAATATACTTTATTAAACATGTATATGTTTTAATGTACATTTGCATATATGACCTTGGAGGGGAGATATGTAGTTTGGGAAAGTACTGATGAGTATAATTGCCTGAGGGTGTAGCAAGCTTTTCACTCTGACACATTCAATACCTAGGCAAGCAGTAGCACTTCTTGTAGGGAGATCACTAATAATTTCCAGAATGAATAGCTTAACTTCCCTGCACATTTTTTTTTCTTTTTCTTGTCTACCTCCAGCATTAAGTTCTTTACCTTCTCTTTGAATATTTCAAATGTTCTCAGTTGTAATTAATTCTTTAGGGGTTTAAAATTACAACCTCACATTTAATACAATATTTCATTTATACTCCACATATTAAAATATTTTAATGACTGTTTTAACAGACATGTTTGGGCTTAAGAAATGTTTTGGGGAATGAATTCAAGATTATAAATTAGGCCTCAGTACTTTGGAAAGTTTGCATTAGTGTAAAGTAACATTTAAGAAATTAATTTAAAGCATTTTTTATTTTCTTTCCAGAGATCTAAAGGAATTAGGTATAACAAAGATTGGCCACATCAAACGCATTCAGCAGGGCATCAGAGAGATCAAAGACAGTAAGCTTCATACTTAGGAAAACTGATAGAATTGTATTCGACTGAAAGTGAGTGTTGAGTCAGACTGGTAGTGGGTAGTTTCAAATATTTATTATCATTTTTTAAGAAGGGCTTAACCCATGTTGATCCTCCATTTGCTAACTGGAAGATGGACACTCTACCTACCTGTACTCATCTAGGTAAACAACTTAAATTGGAAGCAGTGTCTCTCAATTCGGATAATATTTAATGAAAGTGGGAAGACACTAAATTATCTCTCAAATACTGTTGTCTTTTTAATAAGAAATATCTCCCCAGTAGTTACATTATATCATCATCTTCAGTTAATTTTGTACAGAATTCTATAAAGTCCCTTGACTGTTGAAATGTCCATTGTTTTCTTTTTTTAAGGACTTTTTTTTTTTTAGATTAATTACTCATTATATTATCAGTAAACGTATGTTTATTTTAGCTGAATGATATGTCACTTTAATGTGAAATGGAAGTTTATACAGATAGTTTTTTTTATAACCATAGCATATCACCAAAAATCTTGTTATTTCTCCAAACTTTTTATTCTCGGTGGCCTCAGAAGGAGAATCCACTTGACTGAGAATGAGGTTGTTTCTTATGGTATTAATTTAAATATACTTTCCATTACTGTATTTTAACAACTCAGTATTATGTAAGTACACATATTATTGTACTTTCAACGAAAGACCACTTATTGTTGAATTTTGTTTTATAATTTATGTTACTTATTGATTAATGTGTATTTCTAGTCAAAACATTTCCAGGTAATTTATCCATTTCATTGAAGTAATCAGTAAAACTTTTTATTAATACTTTTTACTTTATTTAATTTAGCAAACCACTTTAGTAAGGAATGAGGTATAATTAATAGTATTGTACTACTGTAAAAACCAGTTTATTGACAAAATTCTTTTGAGTGGTTGTTTGTGCAATGAATCACATGGTACCGATATGATATTGTATTGACAGACTCTAGCAATGTTACAGTTCTCACACACATTCTCTTCTGAAATGGTCGTTACTTTTGTATGGAATGACTATTTTGTATAATGTAACTGATAGTATTGATATACTTTTAGGTATTAAATACTGTACTGAAGCTAGGCTAGTCACGAGTTTATAGTACTGTTGTCTTCTGTGTTATGTCAGAAGCTTCAGCCAGTTATGCAAATGGATACTGCACTGTCAGCTATAAATTTCATATTAGTTTCATATTTTTAAAAAAGTTAAATTTTCTCATACCATTTGTACTATGCGTGTATATCAGAATATATTTAATATGCCTGTTTTAAGGCTCCTTGCCCATTGTTTTGGGTATATTTCTGTGACACTGTTTATGTCCCATACTTGTTGTCTAATATATCTGTCTTGAGGTGACATAATATTGTGAATCACTATCATAGTGATCAGCCTCTGGGATAGTACACATATTGTTACCACTTTTGGAGAAGGCACTTCTTTGTCATCTTCAAAGATACAGTTGCTTATTATTTCTCTTATAAGGAATTGCTGTCTTGCCTAAATTAACTATTAACCTATTACCAGGTTACATAATTTTAAGGAATTACTATCTTTGTTTTTTTTCCTTAATATCTAGATCAATATTTCTCAGGTGGATTTGTCCAGTGGCCTTGCATCTAGGTTGATGATCACCATAGTTCCCTGTCATCTTTCCAATGTTGAAAAAAAATTGATTATGAACTGACTCTACTTCCTTTCTTCTCATGTGTCAGTCTAGTATTGCTTAGTGGTGATCAAGTCTGCCACTCGGCATAAATTTGACTTTCATTCTGATTGCTTTTAAGACAAAATGCTAGGCCTAGATTTCCTTCTTAGATATTCCCTGGCATAAGTTATTAGAATTCATAACATGGATGATGAGTACACTTTAAGAAACCTAGGAGAATCAGAAGCAAAAAAAGAAATTTTTTTTGCTGCAACCTGGACATGACTTTTTGGAAAGCCACTCGCAATTCCACAGAAGTTCAAGAGCCATTGGCAGAAAAACGTATGTCTAGATAAATAGTGTATTCCTTTTTACAAAATGTTATCTTGCAGTAGTGCAAGTTACAAATATTGTGGCTGCCATTACTAGAGTAAATAAACACTTTTAAGTTTCTGTATTTACGTTGCATAGAACTATGACTATTGATGTGCATAATTGACGTAGTACATGATATTGAGGGGCAGTGCCCTTTCCTGTAGTGTAACTGTTAGTCTTGTAGGCTATTTGTGGTTGTTTAGTTTATTGCAGAGCTGGGCTCTTCTTGTATTCAGTAGTGAATTGACACACACATATTGTGTGTGTGTGTGTGTGTGTATATATATATATATATATATATATATATATATATATATATATATATATATATATATATATATATATATATATATATATATATATATATATATATTATATATATATATATATATATATATATATATATATATATATATATATATATATATATATTATATATATATATATATATATATATATATATATATATATATATATATATATATATATATATATTATGTGCTTTATAGCCAAAATCTGCAGACTTTACTTATTAACCAGTGATTTTTTTTTTTTTTTTTTTTTTTTTTTTTCCTCAGAAGAATGAACATCTGCTTATTTTTGCTGTAACTGGAAAAAATAAGTCTGAACATCATAAAATATATATATATTTCATTGATGGTAAATGCTACACTAAATTTACTCTGATCTTCAATAAGTTAGTCAACATTATATGAATTTTTACAAGGTTTGCTTAGGTTATTAATGAAAAGAACTATCAATCCATTGGGAAAAATGGTTGGTAAGTTGTGTTTTTAAAGAAAATTCTGCTTGCTTAACTGCTCTATTAAGCATGATGCACATCCACAAATAGATGAGTACACACATACTGTATGTATGTGTATTTTGCATGTAAGCACATAGACACACATGCATGCACACACACACGCATGCACGCGTGGGGAAAGTGTGGACTGGTAGCAACCAGTGAAGAGGCTAGGCCAGGAGCTATGACTTGATCCCTGCAACCACAATTAAGTGAGTACACACACATTCATACATATATTCATGCATGTATATACTGCCTTTCCTCATTTAATGACAGAGTTCCGTTCCTAAGACCACATTCGTAAATGAATTTTTCACTAAGTGAGGAGCATACTGTAATGGTAGTGGGTTTGTGTCGAACATCTTTGATATTGCTTTAATGTCACCTTTGCACTATTTATAACATTTCTGGTATATTTTTAAATGGTTATACAGTAGTGTACTGTATATTGTAATAAACAGAATAGAGGAAATCTGCTGTAATGTACATTATTTAGGTATGCATGCTGGTCAGAGAGCCCATCGTAAGCCCGAGTCATTGGTAAGCGAGTACGTAGCTAAGTGAGGAGAGGCTGTACATACACTATCAAAGTGTTTACTTTGGAAATCACCCAATCAATTATTTCAACTACCCAATAAAGTGATGGGAAACTGGTAACTTGGCCAATTTTGCACAAAGTTCAAAATATTCCAATTTCAAAATAGTTAAGAATAAACAATGCAAGCATTCCTGGCACAATAATAACATTTCCTCTGTTTATTAGTTATGTTTCCAGGCTTTACTAATGAATTACATTTTGATTTTTTATTCACATAAAGAATTTTTATTCACACCAAAAAATAGAAGATTTACTGTTATGTAATCTTGTAATAATTGTATAAATAATATCAGCCCATTCGTGAACACACATTAGACCCACCAGCTGACGTATATTGGACACACACCATCATTTGTTTACTCTTGAACATCGGCAAAAATTGAATACTTCTGCTACTTTGAGCTCATTTTCAAGCCATTTTCAGTACTAAAACCAATCAAAATCATCTCTATTTCTGTAATATCTTCCATTCTATCAAATGAGACCAAGAAACCTTGAATACAACCTTAAAAAACATATGAAAATACACCACAAAGTCACTGTTTTAATCCAAAAACACGATCTTTTTTTTTTTTCTCATGTACTGCATGCTGCAGGATTTGTTTTATATGGTGCACACTTACCACATAGATACATTCTGTCATATCTAGGCCCAAATTTACCGCTCACAGATTATCTGAGTGAGCTGGGCTCATGGCACAGAACTAGGACTTGGACCCAGGCTTCAAAGCTGTAGAACTACGGGACGGACCCTCAGAGGGTTAAAAGAGTCAGTTTTAATTCAGCTTTCCTGATTAGAAAATTTTGTATCATTTTAATGTAAGTGCTCAACTCTGCAGTATTTTTTTTCCCCAGATGCCCGGAGATAGGACTCAATATGGTGTAAGCTATGATTGTTGTTTACAGTCCTAACAGCAGCTGTGTTGAACCGTAGAGAGTGGGAGAGTTTCAGGCATGTCACATCACGAGTGATGGGCAATCGGTTACCACATTTGACCGAGTATATTTTTTTAGTCCCGTTTCCTTAACCTATGATGTTTTTAAAAGGAGAATATTTAGCATATTAAAATTACCAAAACATGTGCAATACATATACTCCAAAGATAACTTTGCGTTTCACAAAGCCACAGGATTACTAGTGTAATTATATATCGGATCCCAAATTACATACACAGTAAGTCATGTTAAATTGTGAGAGTTCTAGCCTTGTACATATGTCAGTGTATATAATATACAGTGTACTCACCTAGTTGTGGTTACAGGGGTCAAGTCTCAGCTCTTGGCCCCACCCCTCAACTTGTCACTTGCCATTGCATGTGTTCAAGTGTGTGTGTGTGTGTGTGTGTATAGTATTAATTTTTTTGTTTTAGCATTTATTAAAATATGTAAATAGAATAATTGTTGTGCTGTTTTGATGTTTTATATGATGTACAGCAGTTGCTGTACAGCTGGTGCTGTGCTTCAGCTCAAGATTTGCAGTGAAATTATGAATACAGGAAGGCCCCACTTATACAGCAGGTTTAGGTTCTGGGCTACTGCTATAAAGCTAAAATTGCTGTAAAGTGAAACATAGACTTTGTTCACTTTCAGGTGCATATAAAAGCCTGATAGCATGCTTATATTATCATAAAATTAAGTGAGCAATAGAACTAGACCTAAAAAATGTGTATACAGTATTCATATTACTTACCTTAAAATATTTTCACTCTTAACTTATAGTGAGCGGTGAATATATTTATTATAGAAAGTCTAAAAAAATGAAGAATGTGTATAATTGAAAACCACTGCATTAGCAAAACTCCGTACAACAAAGCGCTGTAAAATGGTGCCCTCCTGTACTGTATTAGTCTTTTTTGTGTCTTAACTATGGTATATGATCCAGTACTGCTAAGCCATGGTACTCTTTTCATTGGTACTAATCTTTAATTTGTACCCTATAACACTAGAATGTTTCTCCATGGGGAAGTGGAACAGAATTCTTCCTCCGTAAGCCATGTGTGTCGTAAGAGGGGACTAAAATGCCAGGGGCAAGGGATTAGAAATCCCTTCTCCTGTATCTATTACTAAATTTAAAAAGAGAAACTATTGTTTTTCTTTTTGGACCACCCTGCTTCAGTGGGATGCAGCCAGTGCATTGAAAAAAAAAAAAAACTAGGATGTTATTGCTTGGTGTAAGTAGTACCACAACTTACATTACTGGATCATGTTGTGTGGTTGTATGATACAGGTTACAACTTGAGTCACCAGCACTGACCAAGGCAGCTATCACTTTCATCTTGGAAGGGTGAGCTAGCAACCTAAAACAAATATAACAACTATTGTATATTTCTTTCATGTTTAATTTATATATTTTGAGGCTGTAAAAAGGTTTCAAAATCTTTATTCCTGTACTTCGTTAGGATGATTTTTATATAATAAATAGCTGACTGCAGTATATTAATACATCTTTGTATCAAAATACTATTACAATGATGATCTTAATATGAATGCTGAGGTACTATGTGCTGTACATTCCAGTTTTACTTGCAATACTCAACTTAGGTTGCTAGTCTACCCCTCCTTGTTGATTGTGCCAATACGTGTATAATTCATTCCATTTCCACCCAGGCTATTTTAGGCATCACAGTATTACTGATGTCCATTAGTTTCCATTTTTAACTACAAAAATTAGAATTATTTTTCTATTCAACAACATACTGTGCATGTTGTGCATTTTTTGTAATTCATATGTATGCCAACTTCTAGTACATTTATTGTTTATGCATTCATTCATCATAAACAGAGAAACATGACATGTTTTCCAGAATTTTATCATCATGATTATGGTGTATGACCCGTGCCTGAATCTTGTTGGTGGTGTTAACTTTCTATAGTGTTAATATTTGTATAGTATTACCTTTCTATGGTGTTGACTTTTCATGATAATTATTTCTTTAGTATTAGTCCATTTTTATGGTGTTTTAGGCAAACTCGTAACCTCACTCTCGTATTGATGGCATAAATGCGTGCAATCTATGATATATAAAGTAGATGTTAGTGTTGATAGCCTATTTATGACCTCTGAATTATTTAGTGTAAAACTTGCAGTAATATATGCATTAGTTCCAGAATATTAGTGAGTGAAGTATTAGGTGTCTGATTTAAGTGAATGCAACTTGTATCAAAGGTCCAGCAGGCTTTTTGAAATTTTGTCTATCTGTTAATTTGCATAACATAAGCTATTTTGTCATATGAAGGAGAGGAAATTATGCATTAGTTGAAATAGATCACTTACCACACATGGTCATACACAGTATTTCTTAGTTACATAACTAGCAATAACATAGAATCTGACAGTTTAGTTTCCCTACTATATATGACAAATATATTTTTAAGGGTAAATTAATGGGAGGAATAAGAAAATATGTAAATATAATTTGCAAGTAATAATGAAAACTAGAAAATGTTTTGGGTTTGTCATTACTTAATAGATTGTTTTGTTGAACTGTGATTACCTGTTTGTGTTGAGGGGTTACAATGCTGTTTTAAGTAAACCTGGTTGTGAAAAGAAAGTACACTGCAGTAAAAATAACTATTATAACCATCCAATAAATAATAAGTTATTATATTCATGGAAGGTGCTAAACCCTGTGGGTCATTGAGGATTACAAGGCAAGGGTGAGAGAGGTAAAGGTGATGATGAGGGAAGAACATAAACAGTGGAAGGGAAGGGGAGGGGAGAGGGTAATGGTTGATGTAGGAAATTGGTATCAGTTCAGAAATTGTAGAATTATAATTAAAGGTGTAGCTGTCAGAGAGGAGGGCAGACAACAAGCACATCATGGTGTTGAAGAAGCC